CCAGAACTTTTCCACAAATAGAGTACTATGTATAAATTTGAGATGTAAATGAGGCATGGCATATATGGGGAATGATAAATTTTGATATTTTTAAAATACAATATAAATATGTATTGGATCACACCACATTATTCAAAACAAATTTGATTTTCATGTATATAGTGTAAGATTGAGAGAAAACTATTTTCATACAATTTTTCAATGGGAGTACCTTTGATTTTTAAGTTTTTCCAGATCCTCCTTCACATCCTTGTTCCATAGGCTATAAATCAGAGGGTTCAACATGGGACTCACAAGGGTGGAGAACAATGAGGCCATTTTGTCCTGATCTAGAGAGTAGGTGGAACTCGGCTGGAAATAAATGAAGAGCACTTTTCCCTGCAAAATTGCAAGGGCCGTTAAGTGGGAAGTGCAGGTAGAGAAAGCTTTGCACCTCCCTTCAGCAGAGCAGATCCTTATCACTGTCGGGATGATATAACAATAAGACACCAAAAGCCCTGAAAGAGTAATCACATCAGAATCACGTCAATGAAACCAGAAATAATGAATTTCGCTAACTCATTGACCTGCGTATCTGAGCAAGACAGCAAAAGGAGAGGAGGGACATCACAGAGGAAATGATTAATCTCATTTGACCCACAGAAACATAAGTGAAATATTAATGCTGTATTTATCAAAGAACCCATAATCCCCACCATGTAAGCCCCTGCCCTGAGCAGGGAGCACATCCTGTTGGACGTGTTGACTGTGTAGAGCAAGGGGTGGCTAATGGCCTTGTACCGTTCGAACGCCGTCATTGCCAGCAGCAGACACTCGGAATCTGCAACGGTACAGAAGATCACAGACACTCGGAATCTGCAAAGATACAGAAGATCCAAAATTGCAGAGCACAGCCATAGACAGGAATTGACTTGTCCTTGGCAATGAAGCCTACCGGCATCCTGGGTCCAATTGCTGTAGAATAGCAAAGGTCACTGAAGGAGAGGTGGCTGAGGAAAAAGTACACAGGTGTGTGAATCTGGGAATTCAGTTTAATTAAAATTATCATACCTAGGAAACATACTGTGACAATTAAAATACATCTTTATAATGATAGAAAAATCTAACTACAATCATACTACCTAGAGATAACCATGCATTCTTATATATACTATAATTTTTTAATGAAATCATAGCAAACACATTTATATATAAAGTATTACAAATACATTAAATTCCTTCCTATTGAAATATATCCATTTATGTCATATGTCCTATGGTTTATATACAATTATTCATACCTCTTTTTCTTTATTAAACATGATTTTATTGGAAAGATGTGAAATATATATACAACATACATTTAAACAATTTCTCATATCAAAAACAACTTTGAAATGTGCAATAGTATATAACAACGATTCATCAAATTTAGGTATTTCTTTACAGAAATCCTCAGAAATGAACTTAAGGGACAAAGAGAGAGCATTTTGGAGTTTTTACCAAGTGCTAGAGTTTTCTCAATATATTTTCTGTTGTATTAGTATAAACTATTGCACATTATATGCATTTTCTCATATATCCTATGTTAGTATTAACAATGGCATTGTACAGATGTAGATATTGACATTTAGAGCCTCATAAATACTGTTTTCAACTGCAAGGCACTTGTTCTCAATAAGTTCCTGATTACAGTGTAATGAAATGAATTCCACTTAAGTAAGTATCTGGCTAATCTCAAGGAACACTAAAGTGTATTTATATTAACATCCAGTTTGAAAATTTACAAAGTTATTGATTTAAGTATTTTAAAGTTCTAAGCAAAATGAGGTCATCTAAGTCTCACATGTAAGCAAGGCAGTGCTTCAACCTTGGTGAGTGAGGGCAGAAGGAAGCACATAAAATGTGTAACTAGATCAGAAGTGGTGCTTTATTTATTTAATCTGAACACTTGATCATTATTATCATTGGCGTAAAGAGAAAATTCTGTGGAGGGCCACTACAATGCACAATTCCTGGCAGTAAACAGAAAATAAGAAAATTATTGCCCACAGAATTTATGCAACTTGGCAGCCTTGGGAAATCTCTATTAGCCATGTTCTCAGTGATATTTTATAATAGGTGGATCAAGACTATACACTTACAAATGCATATTGCTATGTGTTCATTAAATATATACTGTTGATTAATATTTCAAGAGAACATATAATAGTCATGCACATTAGTTGTATATTCTGATTTTTTATGTGGTTAATTTAACTGCCATTAAATCAGTAAATGCAAAATTGAGGGCAAAAAAGTAAGATGTGTTAGACATGCACCAGTTCATGCACTTGAGTACTCCAGGTAATTTCTTCTTTCTTCTGAAAAGTCATTTGGAGTTAACAGGGACACAGGTTTTCGAAATGTTAGGGTCACCTAAGATAGTGCAGTTTTCCCTGTCTTCAGGAAGGCCAAATTCCCTCATGTTACATGTTGCTTAGTCCAGGATCCAACTTTACTGTCTTAAATATGACTGTTACTCCAGACCATGTAGCTAACTTCCTCACCAATCCTCCACCTCAATTTAGAATATGAGCTTGTTTAGCTGTATCAATATTACAATGTGGATAACCTTATTTAACTCCCTTTAAGGTGCCACATTCTGTCTCTATCAATTATGATTCTACTTCTATGTAGACCTATACCTAGTACTGAAATGAGTATGGAAAAGATGAATCACTTTATGTTCGTATGAAAGTATTGCATACAGCTCTAGTATTTTTTCTTAGAGTCAGATAGTACATACTTTAGGTATTTTGCAGGCTATAAACTCTTTGTCAAAGCCACTTAGGTTTGCCCTTATGTCACAAAACAACCGTAAACAAAACATTAATAAATTGGTGTTTTCAAGTTCCAAAAAATAATTTATGAGCTGGAAGTTTGATGATCTCTGCTTTAGATTAGATAAATAACATTATGTCACATTTTTATACTGACATGTTACACAGCAATGAGAATGAATGAACCTCCTCCACATCAATTACATCGAGAGATCTCACAAATATAATGTTGAGTGAAAAAAAAAAAGACAAAACAAGTCTAAAACTGTATGCTTTTATTACTGTATACTCTTCAAAAACATACAAAATTACCCAGCATATGGGAAGNTAGTTGTATATTCTGATTTTTTATGTGGTTAATTTAACTGCCATTAAATCAGTAAATGCAATATTGAGTGCAAAAATGTAAGATGTGTTAGACATGCACCAGTTCATGCACTTGAGTACTCCAGGTAATTTCTTCTTTCTTCTGAAGTCATTTGGAGTTAACAGGGACACAGGTTTTCTGTGTGTGTGTGTGTGTGTGCATGTTTCCTGTTTGTTTTGTTTCTTTTCTATAAAGTTAACAGTCATCAGGCTAAAATCAGTGGAATTAGTACAGCTTTAATTTGGAGGAAAGTGATTCTTAGTGATAATTTTCAATGACTATATATATATATATATAGCATTGTCATTCTTTGTGTGATGATCCCAGTAGTATCATACCAAATGTACTCCTGTGGGACATATCATTGAGGCAAACTCAAACCACCCAAGTAATCACTAGTAATCATCCAAACCAGTTAAAAATCAACAAACTGATGCATTTGTGTTACCCAAGGGCTTTACGACCATTATTTACTTCTCTGGTACATATTTAGAATTAGTGGATTTGTCTTTGGTTAGCTTCTCCTGACTTTTTCCCAAACTCCCCCCCCCCCCC